TGGATGGGTCTATTTGTAAAGCATTATATAGTTAAGGGGGATGGATGTAATTACCCAAACAAGAAAGACGTTTTTGTAATTTGATCATAACTCGGGCGTGACGGTAATTTGCCCTTATAATATAATATATTTTCTGACCAAGAAAAAAATGACACGAGCTCTAGTTGTGGGCGGTAATAATCATTGATTTTAGTGACATAATCTTGATTCGTCATCAATATATTTATGATAACAATTCATAGTGTATTACACTTCAGATGTTAAGATTGTTTTGATGACTACTGTATTAATATAAATGGTCCAATAGATATTACACTTAATTTGTTTGTACATCTCCTTTTAATTGATTGGTCCGGATCTGCGTTTCATATATTATAAAAGGTTAAATTTTGATTTAATAGTCGTCCAATGTGAGCCAGACAGGGGCGGACCCATCAACTTTTTGTTGAGTCGGGCGATGGGTTCGGTAATAATGAACTAATGGTTTACAGGGATTCAGAAGTAACGTACGACCCTAAAATATCATTATTAAAGATGTAATTAATATTTTAGCTAATATAATATAGCCATATATCATTATTTAGACTCATTCTAATTGGAAATACCATATTATAAGTGTTTTGTTTTTAAAAATTAAATAGAAATAGATTAAAAAAAATCTGCAATCCCCTGAAGCAAAGATGTTATAAAATAGTATGACTAAGCAATAAATTGGTTGCTAAGGGATTAAATCTTGAAGGTGAAATACAAAATTCACTTAAATATTTAATTTTTTATATCATATACAATTACATATATCGTTGAATAATTAATTTAAAATATAATAGAGTTATGATAATCAAGTTAATTAGGTGGGTTGAGGTAGGTCTATTACCACGAGACCATCACATTGGCAAATTGCCCAACTCATTAGTTTGGTTTCCCCACACTTCAAAAAAAAAATTGAATTTTTAAAACGTTTATCATGGATAATTAATTATAAGTCTCTCGTAGCTAAATATCTTAACAATAAAGACAATTTATATATATATTTTCAATTAGCTAAAAGTTCGTCAATTGTTGTTTTTTACAAAAATATATACTCGCGTATTTTTATTCACTATAAATCGTTGGTAATAGAGTTCGTGTCTGAGAATAGTACGGGGCTCGTCTTGTACCCCAAATTCCACTGCCAATTTTCGAAAGTTCACTGCCAGTTAGCGTAAGTAATTAATTTCAAATGCTATATTGCTTATTCACTTCTCTATATTTTTTGGGGAGAAATAATTCTCTATAGTTCCATTTTTATGAACTAAATTAAAATTGCTACTAATAAAAATATTGAAATTTAATTTTGCATTAATTAAAATCAGAAATAATTGAGTGAGCAGCATATATAAATGTAACATGTGAGATATGAAGAAGACTAGGCATGCATGCTTGGGAGGTTCTAAAAGATGCTCACTGCTTTTTACCGAATATGCTGCAAGCTTTGTCGGATAAGGAATTTCTATGTTTTGGCCACACTTTTTTCAATATTTTCAAACTCAAAAGTTAAAAATACAATTTTATTTCAACAGCTTGATGGAGCTTTACTGCATATATAGATAGAAAATTACGGCCACCCTTGAAATAAGTTCCACTTATAAAAAAAAATTCTCATATTTACCTCCTTAATTATACATTATTTTATAAAAAAATTCATTCAATAGGTAAATTTGACCCCTGAGGTAGGGTCAAATTCGAAAAACTCCCTCTTGTTCGAGTAATTACAATTGTCAATCAGCTACGAATCATGTTCCACGTCCACCATTGTGATGTCAAATTCAACGGTATCTCATAGATTCCTTGATATGTTCTCTAGTTTATACTCGTTTTGTGCAAAAATGCAGTTTCTGATGCACTACAATTTGATATTTACAAGCCAAGAAACACATTTATTATCATCTTGTTTCACAATATGGAGCTCGAATAGGGTAAAATAAAAGTATAAACTGGAAACATTCCACATAATCTTAGAAAACTCCACTAAATTTAATAGCGCACGGATGAATATATAAGAAAATTTATAATGATGGTTGTAATTATTCAAACATGAAATAATTTTTGGTAATTTGACATTATCTCATATGCAATCGTAACTAGTAATTTCTCAATTTTAAATGGAATAGATAAGTAAGAGCCTTGGACTTTGTCAAGTAATTATGCCATGGCGACTAGTTGTTTTTTTTTTTTTTTCCTCTTAATCCATTTTGGTGCATAGTGTTTTGTCATTAGATAATGATGGCCCCCCATTGTACATTTTATTTATTTAATGAAACCAACCTTTTTGTCCTTTATAATCATTTGCTTTTTCTATTATCGGATATTCATCTGACTAATTATGTTTATAGACGGCGTTTCCTCTTGGTTTGACTACTAAGTAAATTCAAATACCATCACAATCTATGTACACTCGAACCAAATATTTTAGAATATAGTAATGGTATGCATAGATGAACCTAAATATGGATGTTTACACACTAAAATACCTAGTGACATTTCGCAACACGTATGTCTTACAATTGGTTAACTATTACAAATTACGAAAGGGCAGGTTCCATCGCAATTGTCCTCCAAATTTATCTAAGAGTCAGTTGTAGTGCGTCTGCCCAATCAGGGCGCACGCACGCACTCGAGGCTGCCCAACCACTTGCTAGACAGTCTACCTTACATGCACACGCGGCCAACTTTACCCACACATGTTGCCAGCCTTGCCCGTACACATTGTCAGCCTTGCCCATATCGGTCTACCTAGCTACTCTCAAGGTTCGCTCATGCCAGGCTTGCCCACAATCTTGTGTTGAGCTGTCAAATCTCACCCTTGACAGCCATACGTCTTGCCCATCCCTTGCTCGTGCCGGTTGTTAAGCCACGTCCATGCCCAACAGCCGCGAACCATTCTCTGTAAATTTTTTATGATGTTGGATATTTGACTTTCGAGTCAACTATATTTTAGTTATTTTGACTTTCTTAAATCTATTTTGTATTTCCAAATGTATTATTATTATAGGATTTATTATCCGGATTTATTATCTAGAGTTAGTGGGCGATTATTGTTAACTTAGTGGGTAGTTATTTAAGCTCATTTTTAATTTATCCACTAATCCATTACCCCACTAACTTCCCACTAACTTCTAAACTTCTCTTAATGTACTATTTTCGTGGGATTTATTATCTAGAGTTAGTGGGCGATTATTGTTAGCTAGCTTAGTGAGTAGTTATTTAAGGACATCTTTAATTTATCCACTAACCCATTACCCCACTAACTTCCCACAAACTTCTTATCTTCTCTTAATGTACTATTTTCGTGCAGCACATGATGCTCCTGAACTCTATAAATAGGAGAAGATCCAAGTTCATTTGCACCAATTTCTGAACAGAATCAAGAGCGCAGAGTTGAGGGTGTTGGAACATCTTCTACAACACCTTGTATTCATTATAGATTTCTCATTACATGATTGAGTCTGTTTTGTATCTAACCTCATTGAATACTGGTTTGTATTCCTAGCATTCCGTTAAGTGCTTTTATACTAAATACCAGGGATTGATTACGAAGAAATCATCTTGTGATTTCTTCTTAGAATAGAAGAGCTTGGCTTCACATTTGAATTCTTTTGAATACTGGTTTTAGCATGTAAAGGCACAGTCCACAAATTTTATACTTGTGGATAATGAACTGAAAACTTGTGTTAATTTTTTTTATTTTTTTTTTTGCGTTTCAAGACAAATCCGCCCTGATAGACCATTTTCTTTTCTTCCAATTATTAAAACTTAAATTCGTATATTTGCGAATATTTCTAACAAAACCTACTTAAAAATCGAAAAATCTTCGTCGATTACCTTATCAAATTCTTTCGCACGTAATAAATCGACTACTTATACAAGATCCATCAACAACCCTCTATACATATATAATATCAAAATCCACATTTTATAATCAAGAAACCTCACAAATAAACAACCATGAGAAATTAAATAACCCCAAACCCATTATTCAAATCCTCATTAATCCACATTGTTCTCAACAATTTCAGCAGCATTCTCGCCTTAGTTTTGATCCTTGCACTACACTGGCTCTGAAGCAAAAGCAAAAGCTGAGTCAGCACACCCTCAACGATAGCCGTCTCCCTCGCAATCTTCGAATCCGAACAAACAATCACCAAACAATTCACCGCACTTTCGCTCCCTTCGTGGTTCGACACTCTAAACACCATCTTAACTATTGCTTTCACACCACAACAATTATCCAAAATCGCGATTTTCGCGCTCCCAACGGATAATAAAAGATTCTCAATAGTCGAAACCGCCATCGGAGCTAAACTTCCTTTCTCAATTATTTCGACGTTCGATAAGTACGCTATTAGCCCTTTAACCGCACCTTGTTTATCAAGATTTTCCCGGTTTTTTTCGATACGAGAAAGTGACGACAAAGCTCTGACCCCAGCTTCGTTAGCTTCGGATTTGTTTTGGACTACATCGACAATTCCCCGCAAAAGTTTGTCCGATTTTCCGAGCTTTTCGCCGAGGTTTTTAGTGTCGACGCACGACGAGATTGCTTCCACTACAAGGCACAAGCTTTTCTTGATCGAAATATTTCCTTGTTCAAACAACAATAAAAACACTACATACTTAGTTTCTTGTTCCAATATTTTGTTGAGTGACTCCATTTCACTAAAGGGCATCAACTTTAAAGCGCAAAAAAGCGCTTTTTCAACAAACTTCAAACTTTTCGTACCGATTTCGAAAACAAGCTCCGAAAGTAGTCCGAAAAAGTCGAATTCGATCAACCGAGAATTTTCCAACGGGAGCTTTTCGGACAAGGAGTGAACCTTATCTAGTACAAGAATCTTGTCATCCAATGTGGATTCGTTCGACTCGAGAATCCGCTTGAATTCGCCGATGGAGACGTCGTTTTCTTCGTCGTCGGCGGCTTCGAATTGTCCTTCGGAATTATCAATGATCCACTCGTGGATTAAATGACGGAGCGTGTGGTTCGGCACGATCGAGGAGTCGTCGAGCTTCTGCATTGTGACGGGGCACGTGGCGTTTCCTTCGGACAGCCATTTTTCGATGAAGATTCTGTCGTAGGTTTGGCCGGTGGAGAGAGTGACTGGATCTTTGAACAAGTCAAGGCTTATGGGGCACCTGAATAAATGTGGGATCACCATTTCTTCACCCTTCATAAATAATATTAATCAAGAAATCTTATTCAAAATAAATAAATAAATTAAATTAATTAGAAAAAGATGAGAATGAGAAATA